GCCTCAGCAGCCGAAGTTCTCTGTTGTGAAAAAAAAGACAATGTGTGAACTGTCGAGTACCAGTGCCTTGAAGATCAACTCGGCCATATTGTAATATAGAGTCGGCTTCATCTGGATAATCCTTCTCTGAGAGTGCACGACTGCAGGAGAGTTGTAATGTTGGTAATCAGGATATGGGTTACCTTGAGTTCAATCCCAAAGCCTGATGCCAATGGGAACAATTGTCTGATCCAACAGGACAGATTTGCTCTAGTGGTTGTCCTGCAGTGATGTACCAAGCTGGAGGTCGCCTGAGTTCCAGATGTTGAAGAGACTTCCCATTCACTGAGAACTGGAAGGTCAGGAGGGGAAGCACCCCCTGTAAATTAGGATGGGTCGGTAGGAAGTTGTCACCTAAGTATCCATCTTTGGGAGCAGGAAGTTGTAAACCAGGTGGTTCCATATCAATTGTCAACGAATTTGTGACCGGATGAGGTCCATTCTGAAAACCTGGAGGTCAATCAGGTTCACAATTTGGACCGGATGAACACCAGTTACTGGGCTGGAGGGGCCTAAATGTGAAAACGGTAAAGAGGTGCCAGGTCCACTAGACCCATCATCGGGCTGAAGGAGGGTCGTGTTTGTGTGTCGGAGCCCGAGGGGGGTCGGGGATGGCACCTAGAGAGATGAAGAAGTGCAGATGGCAAGCTAATCCTGCGGTCTTGTGTGTAGAACTGTCTAAGCCCAGTTAGCTGTTGAAATATCTGAATGTTGGAATGGAGAACTGAAGTAGGTAGGCAGTCACAACTTCCGCCATTCAGGTGAAGACTCCTTTGGACATCGAGATATTGGATGGTCGAATCCCAAAAGTTCTTCTGATGTAAATGAATCAGAGGAACTTGTAAAACCGTAGATGGACTGAAGGCGTGAAAGTAAGCGATTTGGAGATCCATCGACAGTAGCCAGAATAGAGCCAACAGGGGTTGAAACACCATGGAGTGTTCAGGATGCCCCTTGCAGAACTTCTTAGGGGCAAGTTAACCTTTTTTTCCAATGCCTGCCCATTTGATCCTGTGGGAGGGATTGACGTTAGGTGAAGAATATGGTCAGAGGGAAAGCCACCCGTAAGTCCGAAGAACAATAAAAAAAAATTGCGAGAACCCATCTGGCCGACATGCAGACTTGCCACAACCTCACATAAAGTGGTAGGTGGTCACCAGCACAGTGCCCTGAGGAGAGGTGAGCAGTGCCAAACGAGTTGAGATACTCCGATAGGGGTGGAATATAGGGCCACTCAGCGGAGAGTGCGACAGGGGGGCCCTGTCCAAATTGGTTAGGGTAAGGTCAAGGTTAGAATTTGTCCTAATTGAGGAAGAGGGCCCTTACCGGAAGATTTAAGGGAGTCAGACTGATCTTGTCTGTAGTGGCAGACCCAAGACAGGCAAGATATGTTTGTGAAGTAGACAAAGAAGGATCTCCTACTGCATACAGTTAACAGCGGAGACTATTTCTTCGTCCTCGGAAGACCCATTGTGAGGATCAGGATAAGGCTGGACTGGGCGCTGTTGCATATCCCGAGAGGGACTGCATGAGGGTTCAGATGTAGATAGATTGTCCGTCGGGTTATGCAACTCTGCAGTAACAATCGTCTCCGCAGTGACAAAGTGACCACACTGGATGAGGAAGTCCAGGATGGTGAATGCGGAAGTGGATTGACTAGAAGAAGGCTGGGTTCTGGAACTGAAAACGAGGGGCGAAAGCTTCGGATCAAGGCAGCTGGCCAACAAAGAGAGTGACTCAGAGTGGGGCTGCAAAGTCAAGATGACAGTTGAGAAGGAAGCCGTGTGATGTTTGGATGAATGCAACTTCGTAAAGATGACCCGGCAGAAGACACAAGGAGCATGTGTGCTTTTTACGCACAGGGTTTGCGGAAATATTCGCAGTCGAGGCCGGATGTTAGAGGGGGCCAGATGGGCAGGCAAAGGTGCGGATCACATCTGGAAGAAGCATTGTGGTGTTTGGATGAGCGCAGCTTCCTCTGAAACTACCCAATGAAATGGCATGACCAGTGTTGGAGGTCTTGAGGCCGGCCTCGGCCTCCGGGCTGGTTTTCAAAGCTGTGGCCTTGGCCTCAGCCCCCTCTGGCCTAGAAGAATCAGTCGAGGCTGGTTTGAGGACGCCTCTACTTCCCCGGCCCAAATTTAATTGGGACAAAGAACTTGCGACACGCATGTACTGTGGGTATGGATCATTTTTGTGTACCGGTATTTACATATGGTGCGGTACCCAGACTCCCTATTTACACACAAGGCTAAACAGTTTTTTAATCCCCTGGGAACATACTTATTTTCATTGATTGTTGGAAAGCTTTTTTTGTTGCGTAAATTAGGCTACATGTTCCATGTAGTTCTCCTTTTTAATTCATTGGAATTATTATTTACTTCATAAATAATAATTTCAGTGAATTAACAAGTGAAACTTGTGTAACTTTGGACTGGAGTTTTTAAGCTATACTACGAGCAATCAGCGACTAGCCCCCACGCTTAACAGTCTGTTGACAAACCTATCATGTCACATACATACATATATTTCTGTTATGTCTGTATAGTTGAGTTTGCAACGTACTGTATGTGGAGGCACTTACAGTGTAATCTACAACTAGGAAAATATGTGTTTAGTTTCTGGCCTGTTTACAAAAACAAACAGAAACTCCAAAAGTCATTTTGATTAAACGTAACATTAGACACAAACATTGTTTTTTGATCGATTTTTGGGCTCTTGTGATTTTTGATAACCGTTCAAAAAATGTCAAAGTTCGAGGCGGAAATCTAGCTGGCAAAAAATTCTTTTCTAGATGTTTTCTGAAACAAAAATTTAGTACAAGACACTTACATTTCACCTAAACCTGTTTGAGAATGTAGAACACATAAGAAGTAGTTTTAGAAGCAAAAGAAAAGAATTTTTTTCAAGTGATCTGGATCTAGGAAAAACCCGGAACTTTATGTGGGAAATTGGCTGTATTTTCCGAGTAAACAACAATGCAATCGAGGTATTGGTTCTTGATGCTACAAAATGAAAATGCTATGACCAGGAGATTGGAACCAGTCCAATTTTTTGCTTTCGCACTACATGTATACTGCATCTGGCTTTGGTCACTAACGGTGTGAAGTGCTTTTCTGTTGGCCTGAATTATGACAGCTAACTCATCCTGTTCGTTCCATAAAGTGCTATAAACTTCTTGACATTTAGATAAATTGTGAAGATAGTGGAGAAAAGGAAAAATCTAATAGAAAAAATAACAGGGTAGTGAGAACTTTGGTGGGGCGGCAAAACTTTAGTGGGGGCGGTCTAAACTTTTGGCAGGGCGGACCGCCGTGCTAAAATCACTCGTGGAGAACACTGTGTTAGCAGTATATGTGTATGTGTGTAATATAAACTGGCCTTGGCCTCAGCTGCTGTGGCCTCGGCCTCGAATGGCAATGACTTAGACTCAGCCTTGGCCTTGAAGGTTATAGGGTGCACTACAGTTGATCGAGTTTTTAGCGAATGGCAAAAGGCAAATAGGGAAATTTGCATATACACGTACATGTGTATAGTGACTGTTTAGGTAGGATAAGCGCAGTGGACTCTTTGATCTGACGTCACAATTTCATGTTTGCTTCACTTTCTCTCGAAGTATGTATCAGCCTAAATGTGTGGCTTTTTTGTGTTTAAATGCCCATTAGCGGAACCAGAAAAAGAAATTTGAGAAGATTATCCTCAAATATACCGTTTGTCTCCAATAATAGTACTGAATCAAACAGCATCACCCAGGCCTTGAATTTGGTAATTTTTAGGGCAAGGCCACTTTGGCCTTGAATTAAGCAAAATTAGAGGGCATCACGGCCAGTTGGGAGGGCACCAAGACCAAATAAAATCAAATCACACATACTGACATACATGTACATGTACAAGCACTGAGAAAGAGAAAGTCAGGTAACTCTGTACGTAAAATCTGGGGCACGCACTCCTGCTGGAATGTGAGTGTACGGATAGAGGGGTTTTTTTGGCAGCGGGGGTGTCACTGCTTGAAGAATCGGCACATTCCGGACCCTTTCTTCTACATGTACATGTACATACAGAAGTGTACAGTACATGTACACTGCATGCTTTGTGTGGACGTAGATGTACATGTATACGATGTACATTTGTACATTCAGTGCACGCATGGAATCGACATTGAAGATTTTAAGACAGCTAATCGGGGTGGCACGACATTGAAATACACTTTCAATGGATTTGCAAGCATCTGAAAACAAGGATTTTCGTGTTTTAATAGGCTTATGGATGTTTCTGGAAAAGGGCCAAGGTACGGTAAATATAGGGCAAGGCAAACCTGGCCGTGAGGACGGAGATTTTTGTGTGGCACCTCGGCCAGTAAGGACAACGATAGCCAGTGACAGCAATGACCGTCGTGGCCGTTGTTCATTTCAAGGCCTGACCTCCAGGTTTTGTCAATCCTCTTAACACTTATTTAAGGTGTAGCAGGAATTATTCCCAGAAAACAAAGTGGATTGAAATTTATAAGACCAGCATTTTTTATTTACTGGATTACAAACATAGCAGGAAATGTTGCATGGTTGGAGAACAGAAAATAAAGCCAAATAAAGCCAAATATAAAGCCAATAAAACATTGAATTTTCATTTTTCAAGAAATCAAAATTGAATTGAAAGTCTATTGATTCTTCATGAAGTCTAGAATCCTGATCAGATCTCACTGAGCCCCCACCCCCCTGGCCCCTTCTACAAGTACCTGTAAATGACGGGTCTCATTACCCAGTCTGTGCTCCAGCTTGACATGACAGCATTGACTAGGGGAGGGTACATGGGGAGGGTACATGTATGGCTATTGCCACGCGTCCCAACAATTTGGGCTAGAACAGTAGGTCTGCATACCATGTTCACTACACTTGTTTGACTCAGTTCTGGGAACTCCTTGTCCCGAGTTCAGCAGAGAAAATTAGAAACCAATTATTACTTACAGCATCTGCGCTTGCAGTACCATCGGCACACTGTTGGTGACTTGCTGATGCAGTGGGTGGCAATGGTGTAGGCTGGCCATCAAAAAACACCGGTTCTTTACACTTCAGTCCTGCCACAAAACATACAAGTATGCCAACCGATGAATTACACCATTCCGCTGAAATTCAAAAGCATCATACTGGTGTGAGAAAAAAAACATGAATACTAGGAAAATTACTGGGGGCAGTACAATATATGAGATGCATCCTGAGAAATCAATGCAAATATGGCAATGTTTTGGAGAACAGCAAGAATAATCAATGATTTTGCACAGGGGAGAACAGAACGCTTACCAGTATTTCAGGCATGCAACTTGGACTTTAACAAAAACTGAGAAAAATTCCAGTCTTGACAAGGCTTTGTACAGTGTTTTTCAATTTTCAGTGGCATGAGTGTGGAGCGAAAAACAAGGAAATCAACTGATCCCAGGAAATGTTGCACGCCTGGTATTTGTACAGTGCCTTACGTGTATTGATAAAAGTTGTAGATTGAACCCCCCCATCCCATTTAAGGCCTTTGCCCTCTGCCCCCTCCTCCACCTCCCCCCCCTAAAGAAAATAATCTGTTGATAGTCTGCCTTGGTCAGTGTTTTACCTTTCACTCCATGAGAACAACGTACATGTACATGTACAGTAGTTCAGATCATAACTTTCCCCCTCCAGGAAATGAAGGTCGGGTAAGTATTCCACATGCAAAGTGGCTTAACAGTCAACCAGCCATAGGTAGGGCTCAGTCAATTTGAATAATTCACTAATCGAATATTCAATCTTCAATAAGACCGAATATCTAAATATTTGGTCATACCGATCGGCAGATTGTTGAACAAACCATACAAAATGAATTGCAATAATGCACACAATGTACATGTCCATTATAATCACTACAATAGCTTCTCACATCTAGGAGTATCTCCAGCCACGATTTAGCAAGATTTGAGAGATAAACAATACTTCTTGCCCAGTTGAAATTTCTATTGCTTTTAAATTCTTCAATGAATAATTTTACTTTTTGAATTGTTAGTAAGATGTCTGTCGCTTTCCATTTGAATCAGCTTGAAACAAGCCTCCATAGTCCAATTTTTCTCATTCAAAGCAGCAGAAAATTTTCCCTTCCTTTTCATGAATTTTGCATTCGAATATTCAATTTCGGAAAATCATATTCGAATATTTGATAATCGGACAAATATTCGGTTATTCGGCACAGCCATACATACATGTTTAGAAAACACTGAAAATTTTTCAAAACAGTCTCATAGAGTTTGTGCACATACATGTACTAGGCCTAGTACAAGCACGTCAAATGATGTCTGTGTATGGAACTCTTTCCAAAAATCACTAATTTTCCTTTGTGGTGGTTTATTAGCCATCAGAAGTAATGCCCTGTCCTTACATGTACAAGCCAAATTTAGCCAAAAAAATACAGGAGGAGCATTCACTTAGAAAACAGGTTGTCAAATGATTTCCATGTTACATGGTGTCCAACTCTTTGATATGATTTAATCACTTCTCCAAGATACAAACACATGTAGATACTGACAAACACAAACCTGGTCATCAGGTAAAGTTGGGATAATGCAAAAAATTACTAAACTTATTTCCATTGGCATGATTGGGCTTGCAAACATTAATGCCTCCGCATCCTACACTAAATAATAAATAATGTACTATGTATTGTACATGTAACTAGTACTACAAGTATGTTACAGAGGCTCAACAGTTTACAAATATTTGGTCCAGTTTTGTTGTTTGAAGTGATATAGGAAAGTATGTAATAGAAAAATGTTGATACAAGAAGTTTGGATTCCCTTGGACTCAGCAAAACAAAGAACAATTGATTGGAAGCAGGGATGTTTTAAGATGTTTTGGGGGTATGTTTTGTACATGTCATGCAGAGCAAACCCCACAGTTCTGAGGATAATCTACAGGAGTGACGTCATGTGGCCAAAAAAATTTAATCACAATTTCCTTTTGAAAAAATGACAATGATAATATCCCAAATGAACAGCGTCCTCACGCAATTTGCGTGTCCCTAACCATGCTACATCATGTAGGCTTAACTTAACTACGTAACTCAAACTCTTCCGAAAATGGATCTCTCATTCCAATAAAATTACATGTACATGTATTGATGTTACCTCCTTTTCGAGACTTCGGATCCCACTGATCTTCGGCTCTAAAATGACAACTGCACAACTTCGTATGGAATGTTTCGGGTCGCCATTGCGTTCCGTCTCCATTCACCCTGTTGATACGCATAACCCAAATATCGTACCACTTCTTCCAATCAGGCCCGTCATTTGGTGATGGAAAGTTGTAGAAATGACACCCATAACCTGACTTGTGCCCACAACCGGCTGCACAACAGATCATTTTTGACAAATTTAGTCCATTGATCGCCAGCAGTATGTACTGTAGCCTACATGTGCATACAGTTGGCCTGACGTTTTGTTCAATAAACAGGATCCAAACAGCGTGGCTCCGAATTATTTTGCGTGAATTATGTGTTTACGAGTCTGGGTGCCGTGCAACAAGGACAAGCGGCGTCTCCAGCTGACTTATCTCTTATTCAAGTCGTTTACTTATCATTTCGCCCAAAGGGCATGGAATAATGACGTTGCTCAGTTCAAACATATAATGTCGTTGAGTTGCTTATATCATAGAGCTACAAACCCAAATTGTAGCTCTATGCTTATATATTATAGAGAAAGGGCAACAGCGACACTGTAGCGCGTACGTAAACCCACCAGCACAGATCGCGAAATAAAGTTGCCTACAGCTAGCTCGCCCTGTATGTGACCGCCCTCTTTTGATGGATATCAGGCACACGTAAAAGTGCGTTTCCTCCTGTTTGCTTGTCTTTTGAAGTATTAAAATGAGAAGTAAAAGAGTGAATAACTTAATGAAAACTAAGTTAATACGAAAACACAGATTGTTAAAAATAAATACGTCTCGCGTATGTACTTTCTTCAAACATCAACCCCCCCACAAGCCTATTCAATTAAGATTGAATTTTAAAGTGCGCCAGAAGTTTGATGAAGTTGTTGCCACATCAACTGCTATTGTTTGGTTGTGGAAAAGTTTATCGCGACTACACGTTGTTACAGTATAAATGTAGAGCAGTTATTATTTTGTTTTAAGTCAGTAGACCGGGGCACGTGTGCTTAGGTAGATCTCAACCAAAAAAATAAATGTCATGCATGAAAGGATCACTGAAACAAATTCGTGAAACAAGCCAATCAAATATACAACATGGAAGAGGAAAATGAGAACACGGACATGCCCTGTCCCAGTGGATGCTGGCTTAGTAATTGAAGTGTGCATGGAGATTTCCTTCATCGTGGTAAAGGTTGGTGGATTGGTTTGCTTTACAGAACAATGATGTACCAAATGTCAGCTTTTTGTTTTGTTTTGTTTATTTGTTCCTTTTTTTAAAACCTTTTCTTCAGCTAGTCCAACCTTTTTCTTGTTTTCAGTTTTTATGTAACCTGGCAAAACGGAAAGCAATGACAACTCGACTAAAGTAAAGCTCTAAACTAGGATATTTGGACAAAGGACGCAAACTTTTAAGTTTAAAAGGAGAAAGGACAAACAATATATATCAAGGACGTGTCAAAAACCAAACCCTGAAAACCAACCAAACTAACTTAAACCAGAGATTTCAAAATGAGGACACTTATAGAAACTAAAAATTATTAAAACCAGAAAGATAAAACAAACACAAAACCAACACAGTGTGTGAATAGCAGAACAATTTGTACAAAGCAGTCAATTGGAAATATCAGAGACTGGGCAGACTTTCAAGCAGTTGAAGAAAACGTGACCCCGAAACAAGTGGGGAAGAGCGTGTGTATTCCAAATACTGCCAACCTGTCAACTGATGAAGGCTTCGGGAAATTTAACTTACAATCTATTAAGGGGGAAGAGGTAAATTTATGCACCGTGTATTCACTTCTCCAAATTGAGGGTTACTACAAATTCCTTCAACAGATCTTTGTTGGACAGGTTTGATACGTGTGAAAAAAGGACAGGGGGAACTATTCCAATAAACCAGAATAGAGCAAGCAATTACGAAATAACTGAAGTAAATTAGCCATGCCAGTCAGCATTCCATTAACTTATAAGCTGTACGTGACTTTGCCGAAATATAGCCATTATCAATTATCTTGGATATGCAAGCAAATCCAGTCAACTTGAAGCTATAGTTTGCCAGATAAATGACTAGAGCATGGGTGCATATCTATGGAATTCCATATCTGCCGTCGCCCGTCGTCCGTCGCATTTTGCTTTTTGATGTGTCCCATTTCTGCCATTTACCAGTTCCAAACATGCCATTTTCCGTCCTGCGTCGCCCCTCGTGCGTCGCCCCTCGTGCATCGTCCGTCGGCCATCAAATGGGTTGCATAGGACCTGCAAAAGCCGTTGTTTAACAAATGACAATGTGATGATTCCATTCACTTCTAAAGATCTTTTCCGAATAAGGCAAGTACAAATCCCACCTGCAAAGCATACACTAGTCACATAATAAATTCCAATAATGCTAGACTACCCCTGCCCCTTGACAAGAAAATATCGCCTCTCTGAGAATTCAACAAAGTGTTTTTTGGGGAAAAACATTTTCAGCAAAAATATTCCGGCCAACTTATCCACAGTGTTATTCTAATTTGCATACTGTAAAAATGTGCCGACTTGTTTTCATCAAATTCCAGGAAGAAATCTGCCAACCGATACAGATATTCTATCTTGTCCTCTCAATTTCACCTTGAAATCCAGACATACTAGACGTGCTGTGGATAACAAACTGTTTATTAAATGTATTGTTAAGGGGCTATTACCAC